TTTACTTTTGACCATGATATTTAGCTTTTCTGAGTATATTTTGACATTTGTTTACCCTTTGGAAACATAAATGTGAGATGACCTTTAAAGATTGCTGTCATTATTATGAAAGCATTCTATCATTTGTTTAATTGTAGCTTGTAGATAAGAACTCGGAGATAAAATGTCTTGTTCCACAGATGTCTTCGTAGAAGACGGACGAAATAACGTTTGCCATGCTTTTGTTGATCCAAAGAGATAATTGCAACCTGTGCTGGCAAAATGAGTCACATTGACGATATTTTCAATATTGATCTATTATTTATTTCAAATTCTCCATCTCAAAAGATGACTGATGCATCTCCTGGCTAGCATCATCTGATCAGCTGCTTTTGGCTGTTCCCAAAAACAAGATTGAAGCTCAGAGGCGATTTGGCTTTTTCAGTCATGAGCCTCAAACTTTGGAACAATTTGCCCCCCAACATCAGGCAGGCCACTTCTTTTCCTGATTTTAAATGTCTGCTAAAAAACATCTGTTTTCTCTGACATTTCACACAGTGTGGGTTGATTTAGTATTTTTTTGTTCTGTGTTTTTATGTTTTTTTTTAATGCTTATAATAAATTTTTCAGTACTGTCCTTATTTGTATTTTTTCCATTAATTTACTCTCACTTTGCCAACAGCTGCTGTTTTAAATGCGCTCGATAAATAAAGTTGACTTGACTAGCAACAAGCTAGTTTTGTTTACAAGAGTACCAGTTTGAAAACTTGATTTTTATTGATCTTAAGTGATGTCTACGGTAATTTCAGCCATATATTAAAAAATATGAATCTCTAAGCTTCACAGTGATGCCAAACATTATACGAAGGGATTTACCAGCTCTACGACAGTCGGCAGAGAAAAAAAAAAATCTATTTAAAATGAAATTAAAAGGGTTATACCTATTTCTGAAGAAACACCTGTTAGAAAAATGTAATTTAAAGGTAGCTTTATAGGAGATTATATGCTATTTTTTGAGAAGCACGATATTGGGTTTTTGGCCGATATCCAATATGCCAATATGTTAAATCTTATTTGGCTGATAACCGATACCAATACCGATATTTGTCCCCCCTAGACCTACTTACAGAGACTACATAGTTTTCTCTGCTGTGGAATTAAAATACTAAATTATTCTTATTATTCATTATTCATTATTGAGTCCTCATGGCTCAATGGGACTAACCTAAAGGTTGAATGAATGAATTCTGCATGGTCTTTGCCAGTTTGGCCTGCTACCAAATGCAGATGCCCAAAATGGGGCTGAAAATGATGTAACGCTTCAACTTGGATTATGTTTAATGTCAAATTTATCCTTGACATTTTCTCTCAATGACACTCGAACAGTGCAAATTTATACATTTGCACAAACCTAAACTCAACCTGTTCACAAGCAACTAGTGAAAAGCGCATAAATAGTAGTGCATTAATAGATATACTTGACCGTTTCTTAAATTAAGAATAAACTTAAAACACAAGCCCAATATGTGGTTAATCTCTATGAATTCTGCTATGTGCAAATAAAATCAAAAGTGCAAAAATATTGTCAGCTTCTTTCCTTTGTCAGAACATAGCCTTCTTATTTAGACTTATTTACTACAGAAATTGTGTAACAGAGCATGGGAAGTTCAAACAAGCCTTTTATATCGGTGAGTTATTTTGATGGCTGATGTTCGATATTTAACTTTATCGCTAATATCAGCCGATACCATGCCTATAATATAGTGCATCCCTAGCTATTTTAGTTGCCAGGATGGCTAGATGTTAGTTTAAAGGACTAATGTTTATGTAAAAATCAGTGTTTTCACTTATTTTGCACTGCAGTCTGTGCTCATTCCACATCATTTTGAGAGATCACATTTGTGAGGCTAATACCTTTTTATTAAAAAAAAGTAAGCCTACATGTGTTTTTGGTCGTGGTGCACACAGCAGACTGCATATTTAGATTTTATAGGCGTAATGGGGAAAAGGGCTAATGGTGAATCTACAAAACTTGTAAATAAACTTCATAGTTAATGCAAACTAAGCTGACTTCACTTTCCCTGTAAGCCTCGTCTTGTAACGCTGCCACACACCCTGCTGGTACGCCAAGAAAACTACCAGCTTCTTTCCTGGCAAACATAAAATGACCTATTGTGTGCAGATTTCAACAACGTGTGTGCTTTTTATTGATAGATAAATATTTGCTTAATAATTTACCTTAACCGTTGGTGAAAGAAACTTTTATTCTAGTCTATCTTGGATTGAGAAATATTTACTTTGGTAGAGTTGCACAGTTTCTTTTTTTTTGTCTTTTCATTTTAAGTTCATGTTAAAAGCCTCTCTATGAAATAATACAACGAGCACAGCTTCATTCTTAAAACTCTGAGCTGTTTTCAACTTGCAACAAGCTTGTCGGGTAGTTTTTCTGCTGTTACATCCAAAGCTGTGGTTCTCTTGTTTGTTGAGGCTACTAATGGTTCATGATCTATGGTTGGGGCAGCACGGTGGCGCAACTGGTAGAGCTGCTGCCTCTCAGTGAGCAGGTCCTTGGTTCAAACCCCGGTCCAGGGGCCTTTCTGGATGGAGTTTGCATGTTCTCTCCGTGCATGCATGGGTTTTCTCCGGGTACTCCGGTTTCCTCCCACAGACCAAAAACATGCATGTTAGGCTGATTGGTAACTCTAAATTGTCCCTAGGTGTGAGTGAAAGAGTGAATGGTTGTTTGTCTCGTGTGTCTCTATGTGGCCCTGTGATGGACTTGCGACCTGTCCAGGGTGTACCCCGCCCCTCACACAGTGATTGCTGGACAATGGGCACCGGCAACCCCCGTGACCCAAAATGGAATAAGCGGGTAAAAGATAATGGATGGATGGATGGATCTATGGTTGGGTTTACATCAACGTTTGTGTTAAATGTAATGCTATGATCATGAATAAGTACTAGTACTTTCTGTTCCTTATTAATATATTGATAAAATATAATTAAATATTGCTTTAAATAGGTGGTAGTAAACTCTTAAATTTGTTTTTCATGTTTTTTCTTTCCTTCCGTTCAGAACTAGTCTGGTTTAGTCCTGAGCGGTTATAGATTTGTTGCCTTATTATTCAACTCTAAATTGTTCCATCAAATTAATATAAAAATATTATTGTTCTAAAAATGATTTTTAGTGACTTGGGAGCTCTGTATAACAGTGTGTCCTGCTGGATTTAAATTAAATGTATGTAGCTTCAAAGGAACTCGTATAACTGTGCAAAAAGCTCTGATGCTATATCACAAGAAGCTGCTTTATTATGGTTATCGTTATTATTTAGATGATGTTTAATATTTTCTTTTTTGTCTCTTAAGAAAGATGAAAAGGAAAAGAAAATAGACCAATGTTTCATATTTTGAACCCAAAAAGGATTTTGAAAAGTTCTCATCAAAATTTTCCACAAGCTCCACTTCAATTTTAAATTTAGTGAAGAGAAATTGTTTTTAATATTGCAGAAAAAAATATGAATAAGATTCATGATTATAAATACATGGGTACTTTTGAATTTTATGAAATCTGCTAAATTAAATATTCCTTTTCCCTAAAAGAAGTAAAAGTACATACTAATGAGCTTAACCACTTGTATGATTTTGCACAAATTAGTATTTTTAAAGACCAGTTATTTCAACGAGGATGACGGTGCGTCTCAAACTCGCTGAGGAACATGCAACTCTTGTTCTTTGTTCGACTCAGCTCATAATCCTGGTTCCTGGTTCCGTAGTGCAGTCTAATTTATTTAATTTAAAAATAAATGTGATTTACAGCGCAGCAGCAGAGCCTCTTCTCTTCGTCTGCTATTTTGATCATTTACCAGATTTTGGCCTTCCTCTCAGAGTAACAGCTTCCACGATGAACACATGCTAAGCAAGTGTGTGGCTGAGACTACAAACTGCTTTCACTTGTCTGAATAAAACATCAGAAATCTGAGAGCATGCATGGTGCATCCATCTAAATTATGTCCATGTTGGACCTGCTGGTTCCTAATCAACCTGGAAATAGTTATGATCAGTTGAACCTTTTGAAATAATCCAAACAAGTTGGGATTATAAGCAGTCTTTCTACAAGGGATTAAAGATCACAACTGAGATAAATAAGTCAGATCTATTAAAAAGTTCTGCTTCTTTCATTTTATCTCTTGTGAATTTTTTGCAACCAATCTTCCCTAATAAATAATGCATTTCTCTTTTTGTTCAAGTGTGGTTGAACAACTTCTGTAGCCCAGTTACAGAAAATCTCATGGGCCTGCATGCTATTCATTTTTTCAGACTTTTATTGAAAATCTGATCTGTACGATTGTAAATATTGCTCATTGCTAATGTCGTCCTATATCAATTAGTTGTATACTGCATAACTGCATTATGTTGGCAGGGGGCGAGAGCAGCTATTACCAGACAACCGGGATGACAAACTATCTGAACGTGACTCACAGTTCTCGGGAAGACGTCCAACAAAACGTTGCACATTTACTGAAATCCTCATGACCAATGTAAGCTCAAGCGGTCCATCTTTTCATCCTCCTCCATGTAGAAAGCAATAGTTTTCATACCTGCTAAAGTCGTGCATACGGCGCGCACTTTGTGTGTGGGTGTGTAATGGTGACTAATCCAATTTGCAGTCTTATTCTGGATCTGTAGTTGTCACTAGCCCTTAATCTCTGTGGTGTGAGAGAGAGAGAGATCCTCTCAGCTATAAGCTCGTGTTTGTCTGTTGATCCTTGTGGTAACAGTTTTTATTTTTATTATGAATGACTATAAAAGACAGGATCCTCCTCATCTTTCAAAACTCCACTGTGAACGTTATAATAAAGGGAGGATCAAGATGAGGCTGCTGACAGCTGCCTGTTGCACACTGAAGAGCTTCTCTCGTGGTGTTGTTCTGACACTGTCATGCTCAGCTGCTCCTGATCCTCCTCCATCCATTCACTTACTCCCAAGGCTTGGGGTTGCTGGTTGCCTGGGGTTACGCCTGTTGTTGAGCACAATGTCGGAGCACATGCAGCTCTCCCTCGCCTTGTGCAGAATTGGACTTTACACGGTAAGAAAACACACACATGCCGCTTTTTCCCGGTTCAATAACTATGATAACGTGGCGTATTTAGTTGTAGATGCGTTTACGCGTGCTGGATTAAAAGCTGCCAGGTTTCATCATGGCTTAATCTTTTCTTCTTCTTCTGCTGTAAGACAAACACTGACTGAACAAAAGTAGCTGCCGCGTCACTGTTGGTTGTTTTCGAAGGGGAGCGCTCGCTACGTTTCATTCATACAGTTGATGACGATAACAAGACGGAAAAGGCAAAACGTGAACACAAGAATTATTATTTTTTTTTTAATCTCTGTCCTCCGTCGTGCTTAGCAACTGGTTTCAGGCAGTCTTGTATAGCTATCACTGGATCTGTGAATATTTTGCCAAGAGGCAATGGTGGAAATACAGTAGTGTGAGTTTGAATTTTACCTTTCTGGTCAGACTTGAGGAAGAGTGATTTTCCTTTTCAGGAACTGTTTTGTAACACTGCAGTACTTCTGATGTTTTTAGTAATATTGTTGCATTTTAAGCACATTGATGACTCATGGTCCATTGTGATGTTCCATGTTAGTGTTTACCAGCTGGTGATGGCCATAGATCACAGTTACCTATTGTTTGGTACACAGTATACACTCTGTATCTAAAAAATGACTTATTCTTTCAACAGTTCATGAATCAAATGAATGAGTGTGAATATAGCACATGCTTTATGTCTCGGAGGCCCACAGTTTTGATTAGGAATCAAGTGAGACATTTCTCTCAGCTCACAGTTGTACTTGTGTGTTTAGAAGTTAGTGTATGCACATGGTTCTCCATCAGAGTTTCTGCAACACAAACAAACGTTTACTCATTTTGCTGGCATGAATTATGTTTTTATATTTATTTGCTATATTTTCCAGCTCATTTGGAAAATAAGCAGTAATACTCGACCTTTACTGATTCAAAAATATTGATCAGATTGGGAAGAAAACCCCATCAGTGATACAAATTACTCCATAAATGAATCGACCAGCTCTCAAATGTAAAGGAAGCACGAAAGTATTATAAAAGGTATTTTAAAGGGAACTTGTAGGCAAAGGAATGTTGGATGCGAAAACTGTTTTTTGTTGTTGAGTTCAAGATTTATTTAGCAGCTCCCAGTGCCAGTTCTTTCTGAACATAAAAGCTTTTGTAGAAATATTTACTGCTCAGATTTAGGATCAATAGAAGTTCAGCGTTCTTTACAGCAGGGGTTCTCAAACTTTTTGTGTTCATGGACCCCTTACATGTGAGAAAAAGAGAAACATTTTCCTCAATAAATGCACTTTAATGGTTAAAAAAGCTTAATTTCACCTGCTTGTGAAATTCTGTTAACTTATGAGCCATAATCAATTTTTGGCCACCCATAATTAATATTTGGCAGGAAGGCGAAATTAAGCTATTTTGACCATTAAAGTGCATTTATTAAGGAAAAGGTACACAGAGACACACCTTTGCTATAATCTCGAGCAAACAAATAATTGTTTTTAAATATTAATCTTGTTAAATTTGTAAGAACTGAAACAGTGAGTCCTCTCACCGTGCACGCTTCCACGGCGCTATTCGATTTTTGGCAGACCGTCACTTTTTGGCACGACAGATTTCGACAAATACGCCAAACAGGAAGTTATTTTTTTATTTTTCTTCTTTGTGTTTTACCACCTCCTTGAGACTGAACCACATATCTACATTTCCTTAAAGGGAGTTTCATTAACGTGAAACGTCAATCTGTCAATCTGTGTTCGATTACTCTGAAAGGACCCGGATGTGTCGCACAAAAAACAGAATTTTGAAATTGTAACTGGTTTATAAAACTGAATTTTCAAAGCAAATTAATTCAGTTTCAAACCATTAAATTCAATTTCACTTTAGTGAAATTCAGTTTCAAAATAGCAATTCAAATCCAGATTGTGACGGCACAAGTTTCAGACCATATATTTTAACTGTTTGTTAAATATATACGTGCTTGTAAAAAAAATAAAAAAATAATATGTATGTATATATATATATATATATATATATATATATATATATATATATATATGTATATATGTATATATGTATATATGTATATATGTATTTAAAAAAAGTTTTTTTATTGGCCCCCCCAAGCAAAGGCTCATGGACTCGCGGAAGTCTGAGGACCCCAGTTTGAAAACCACTGCTTTCCAGAACTTTAAATACAAGATCTTTTTTTTTTTTTATTGCAGGGCTGCACAAAAGTTTAAACCCAAACTGAGTCACCACTGCCAGTATCACAGAAGTAAGCATTTCCAGTAGGGGTGTAACAGGTATTCATACTGGGACAGTTCTGTACAGATGTTTTGAACTAGTACTGTGAACTGACGACAAATACGTCGGTCACAGGTGATCAGAGCGGGAACTGGTTTTGTTTAACAGCATTTTGCTAAAAGCCCTGACAGAAAAGAAGCAATAAATAAATACAATCTATCTAAACACTCTACACCAAACCTGATTTAGAACAACTCGCAGATGCAAAGCCGATCAGATGAGCTGTATGGGAAAATCTCTGAGAAGAGAGATGTGTGTATAGCAAGCAGTTGCTTTATATAAGTTATGTTTTTGACAAGTACTGTGGCAAGCCATTTGTATATTTATTCAATATACCTTAAAACAAGTGTCAATTTCTTATACCTACCCTCTGCTAGCTGAAAAGTTTGATAGTTTTGTGTTGCCCTGTATTTTATGTGAAGTCAAATGATTAAAGCAAACACTCCTTGGTTTTTGTTTGAATTTAAAATTTTAGTGATTTTTCCTAAGATCTTTCTAGAGTTTATCAAACTTTCAGTTTGGCACAGGTCCTTTGGGTTATTTTGTTACAGTTCAGACTGAATAAAAAGACACAAATTATGATGTTTTTATTTGGTAGTGAATGCACCAGTTGATGAATATTTTGCTGTACATGATCTGCCGCCTTAAGCTCTTTCTTCACACTGTAACAGTTTTAGACAACTTGTGTCGATGAATGTACTGTACATTTTATCCAACACGCTGGTTTATAGCTGCATTCTTTTGACTTATAAAGAGCTTATGCACAACGTTAATGTAACTTTTGCCAAACTTATTTCATACGGTGACATACGTTTTTTCATACGTTTCAGCATATATGAAAAAAATGCCAAACTCACTGGTATAATTCGCACAAGTTCAGTGAAAGTTTTGAATAAGTTACCATTTTGAATAAGTTACCATAGCCAGTTTCTTAGGATCCACTGTGGGATGGACCTTTACAAGAGATCCTTCCTGCCTACAGCCATCAGTATCTATAACATCTCTTAATGAAATGAGGATAATGAGTTACTACAACAAATAATTTCCCTTTGGGATTAATAAAGTATTTTTGAATTGAATTGAATTGAATCACGCCGATATACAGTGTCATAACTTGTTGTATGCCGATGCCAGACAAAACTTTTGCACATGCACAAAATTTTCAGCGTATGCCGACATGTTGCTGATAAGTTAGGTCTAAGTTACAGGTATGTGATGTTTAAATGACAAGTTCCCACATGTTACATGTAAGTCACTCATAACTTGTCTGAAAACAAACAAACATTTAGCGTTTAAAACTTTTTTTTTTCCTTGTTATATCAAACCCAAACCATGTGACCCTCACCGAAGTACAAACTGAACTGACTTAGGCATGTGTACCATTACTCCCCTAGAAGCCAGTACTCCATTAGTCCTGTAGCGTTTTGATCAGACCATGTGTGTGCAACTTGTTAAGTGCAGGTTGTTAGAATTATTAAAAAAATCAAATTCTGCAAATTTTAAAACTTTAGGAAAACATTGTTTAGAAACTCTAGAGTTCTTTACATCGCCAGTTTTCTAGAGTCTAGAGACAATAGAGATAATAAAAATGATTTTTGATTGAGCATGCAGTCAGATAATTAGGTCCTGAGCAAGAATCGTCATAAACGTTATCATAAGGAGCAGAGGGGTCCACTGCTGCTCTTTGGACCTTTAACTATTAGGGCTCTAAGTGATTGAGATTAGGCACTGTGTGATCTCCTCATTATGCTATTAATGGACTGGAAAATGGTGGCTGTAGCCCCCAGGCACAGGCCACATCATTCTGTTTAAGAGTCAAAAGCTCGAGCAAGCGTGACCTACTTCAAATAAAAAAGGCACATTTGAGTTTTCCACAAGTTGTTGAAATATATCTCACCTGAATCAGCCGATTCTGGCACATTAAAGCAGGGATGCTTGAACAAACGGGCTAAACAAAAAATCTTTTTATTTTCTTTTTGTTTGGACAAATTTTTAAAGGATGTGTAATCTTTTTAAAATAATTCTGGAACACAGTGTTTGGTTTTATGCTGATAAATTATTACAGGATGCAAAGCACTTTATCTTAAGATTTGTGCGGCTGCCACCGCACCGGTTACACCTCCATCCGCTTTACCCGAGCAAGATAAGATAATGTAGCAGTAAATCAAAGTTTACTTTTCTCAGTTATAAAGCTTGTCTGCATTAGTTAATTATTACTTTATTGTATACTGTAAAAAAATTAAGTACCACCTTGAATTTTGTATTCGCTTAAAAATCACATTTGATTCGAGGATAATGGATAGAACGATCTGCTGCACTCGTTGTCATGTTTTCATCACATGCATGTTTCTATCATTTCTTCCTTTCATCATCAGACTCTTGCTGAAAAGTGTTCTGTTGAGTTAACACAAAAGTTCTGATAGATTTTTACATTTTTTTCCCCCAAAACATAAAATGTTTAAAGAGCTCTTCAGATGAGCTTTCTTCACTGAATTCAGAAACATCCCCAAATGAGACGTAAAGTATTTTCAGGAATCCTAAAGTACTCCAGTTAACCTGAAATGAAATTGCTGGACCTCTCATGCAAACCTAGGATTATGCAGTTTTGACTCCGTCAAATTCAGCATGTTGTGATGTGTCAACGGCATGTTAAAGTGGAAACAGTCTGAATCTTGTCAACAGATCTTGTCAATTTTTTGAGA